ATTAGTGTGGACGCACAAAGTCGAATTACTGTCCTTAGTGTGGACACACACGTTCGACTTTGCAATATCGATTACAAAAATTCGATGCAAGTAAAATCGAACTACTCTCGTAGTGTAGACAAGGCCTAAGAGAAATGGGATGCCAAGCATACTGGGCTTGACCTAAACAAAGCTGCATCAGTTTTACTGAAGGTGTGATTTTTAAGGTGTTTTGGTTAAACCAGTGCAACTTTCTGTATGTAGACAATCATTTAGTTGTGGAGTATTTTTCCAAAGGAAACAGGGAAAAAGTCATTAATTGAGAGATTTAAAATGAAGCTGTACAAAGAACACTGCCAGATGGATTCAGTAGAAGATCTAAGGGTGTATTCCATCTTGAATATCAGTATTTTTGTCAACTTAAGACCCTTTAGTAGACTCATTGGTCCAGGTAACTCTTAAGTGGGTTGTTTTTTATTCCAAGTGTAAGGGACTTAGACTTTTCTTAAGTTTCAGATCAAGTTCTTAAATCTTAAACTCAGTTTTCTTACTGTTCTGAAAGCAAGAAATACCACGCCCTGAGGTTGGTAGAAGTCAGTGAGAGCTTTGGGTGCTCTAAGGATCAGAAATATAGATAACATTTCAAATTGCTAGCCATTGTGAGTACTTTTTATGAGAAAATACCTATGTTTTTCAGAGTAACCCAAAGGCTCGTGAAGTAATGCAGAGGAACAGGCCTCCAAAAAACTGTAGAGAAGCTTTTACTGCTGAGGGTGATCAAGTGTTTGAGAGACGTTATTATTCATCTGATAATACCAGGCCAAAATTCCTAAGTAAAGACGTGGAAGCAGAAATAAGGTTAGTGTCATGTATTGCTGAAGTGTAAAGTATTCTCTCTCAAGGTGTTAGAAGTAACATCTTTTGCTCTTTGTCCTTCTACTCCTGTTTGAGGGTTTCAGGAGTGTTTTAAAGCACAAAATCAAAAAAGAACCCTTCCCTCTGCATTGTAGAAAAAGGTACCCTTCTCTTCAATTGACCTTTCTTTTCTTGTAGACTTAACTCCATGACTGTACCTGCATCACACTTTTTTCTTGTGAAGTTTTTTTTCCTCATTAGACTTATTAAAATCACGTATATATTTTCCAGAAGTACCTTTTGTAATAGATTCATATTCTTGAGTTCCTTCTTAATTGTTTTGAGCTTGTGGCATGTGGATATGGCCCAAAGACATGGGATTTGCAGAGGCAACTTACTCTGAGAAATCCAGTTACCTTCCTTTAATTTTTGTAGCCTTAGCCAAAGAGCAAGCCTGAAATGAAAGGTCTCTAAAAATACTATGATTTGGTTGAGTGTAAGATAACTTAGTTTTTCTATTCCAAATTAGCCTCACGCCAATTGCCCTTTGTTAAAAGATTTGTAGCTGTTTTGTTAGGGCATGTTTACACTACAAAATTAAGTCAAGCTAATTTACGTCGGCATACAGCTGCTGCTGCAGTAATTACATTGCTTGTGCATGTCTACACTTAGTTCTGTATGTCAGTGGTGTGCATCCTCACCAGGAGCACTTGTATCAATTTGGGACATTGTGGGATGACTTTTGAAAGCCAGTAACAGTCTATATAAGCAATGCAGGGTCTACACTGACACTGTGTCAACCTAACTACATCAACATTGACTCTGTGCCTCTCATGGAGGTGGAGTTAAGTCAGCATAGCAGGGCAGTTATGTTGGCGGGAGCAAAATTTTAGTGTAGACACTTACTTCCTGGTCCGATGTAAGCGATCTATCTTCTGGGATCAATTTATCGCATCTTGTCTAGACGCGATAAATCGATCCCAGATCGATCCCGGAAGTGCTTGCCGTCGACGCCGGTGCTCCAGCTCAGCGAGAGGAGTACGCGGCATCGACGGGGGAGCCTGCCTGCCGCGTCTGGACCCGCGGTAAATTCGGACTAAGGTACTTCGAATTCAGCTACGTTATTAACGTAGCTGAATTTGCGTACCTTAGTCCGAAGTGGGGGGTTAGTGTGGACCAGGCCTTACATTGTTAGATCAATGTAAGCTGTCTTGTGTTAACCTAACTCTGTAGTGTAGGCCAGGCCTCAGTTCCAAGCATTTGGCATACCTACGTGCAGCTATATGTAGTCATCTTGATTATTCTGGTTACTTTTTCAAAATAGCAAGCTTTAAAAGAAAACCAGCATTTATTCTTGAGAGATTTCAGTGGTGGTGGTAATAACTTCTTTGACCAACTCCAATTAGTACCATTAAAATACTTTATTTTGGGGGCTGAGCTATAATGCAGATGAAGTGAGAAAATAGGGCACTGTTGAATTAAAAATGTATTGAAAAGAAATTTTCCTTAACTTATTAACACCTAAGATGTTTAAAATTCTGTGAGCTCTAATAACAACTTTTTGCTATTTAGGGTGTGGTTTAGTATTTATATTTTTCTCCATTTAGATTATTAAAATAAACCAGTCTGCTTCTCTTATGTTAATAGTCAGTTTCAAGTCCACTACTTTTTTCAAGTTTTCAGTTGTTACCAAAATGCTACAATATTTCTGTTGCAAATTTTGTAAGTGGAGGGAAGTGTTTTTATATTAAAAAAAAAAAACCCACACACACAACAAAAAGTCTCCCTTAGAACATAAAATAGATGGGACGAGTATGTCATTTCCTTTAGTCTCTTGTATTATAAACATTATATTTTTATTAAGCCTTATACTATAAAAATATTATTAAACCTTATATTGGGATCCTGCTTAATCTGTTGTTTCTTTTAAACACTACCACTATATTGCCTATTTTGAAATATGCATGTTTTACTGCAAAAAGTGTTTTTTACTATGGTCGGCTGAGATGCTGCCACTGCCATTTCCAGTTATGAAAGCTATATATGAGTATTTTGTCCACTCTATATGAAGGTTAACTAGAGTGTCTGTTTTGCTTTTTAAGTGAATTTACTGCTCACTAAAAGTGCCATATTAACAATCCTGAGGATTGAAATCCTTCTTAAAAAGAACAAGTATGGGAGGTGGTAAGCCAGGTTTCTCCATACAGACTTAGTTACTTTGCTCCAACCACAGTTCTGTCTGGTCTTAAAGTATACTAGCATTTTTAGAAGTAATAACACAGTTTAGTTCAGGCACTTGGCCTTTCTGCTAAGGCTGCCAATAAGGGTTCTTAATGAGATGGTGGTTTATTTGACATGAATGCATACCCACTAGGGACTGAACAGAGACTACTAAATAACTATCAGATGATAACCAATTATGAACTAGTGAGCTAGTGATAAAGCATTCAATCTCCCTATCAGTCATTAGCACCTGTATCAGAATTTTTTTGTTTCATAGCCATTGTTCAGTCCATTTGGTAGAATTTGTAATTGGAGAGCATATAATCTTATGATAAATTTTATATTTTAAGTCACTTGCAGAAAGAAGTTGAAAACAAAATGGCACAGTTGTCAACATCTCAACATTGTTTACGTTCCAATGAAAATGAGACGAGACAGAATGAAGATTATCTTAATCGTTATCGTAGACAACAAAAAGAATTACAGGTAGAAATATGTAATAGACTGCTAAAATCAAAAATGCATCTGTTTTAGCCTATTGTATTAGTCTTTTTTAAACTTTTAAACAAGTGATTTTCGCATATATTTATTTGGTGGCTTTGCTTTTGTTTAAAAATGTGCCGAGTCTCAGGCTCTATTGTTGTTAAGTGTCCTTGCATCATGCAGCTAGATTTATGCTCGCATGCTTCCCTTGTTATTCTATGAATGCTCACTAGGGTTTTCACTTTCCTTGGGAGACCAATATAATAAATACCGCTTTCTAGGATGTGTATTCCTGATCTTCAGTCTAATTTCTTAATTTCATCCCATTAATCCTTGTTTATGTTTTATTCAAACATAAGTAACTTACCTTCCTGTTTAGCATTTGCATCCTTCAGCTGTTTATGTATTAATGTTGTGACACTTCCTAGGGGTACCCAGGTTGTGAGGCACCTTGCTAACACCCATTTTTAATGTGAGGAAGCCTTGTCTGTACCTGCCTCGGGTCAACTCCTTGACTCTCCAAGCCACAGGCCACGCAAGCACTCAGGCTCTGCTGTCCCTCATGCAGCTAGCAATAGGCATATGCCAAACCCCGAATCCTCCGAGCAGTCCCTTGCGATATTGAGCTCCTTATCCATTGGACATTCACAGAATTACCAGACAAACTGTTCCCAAAGGAACAGTACACCACAGCTTAACACAGAGCCACCTAACAGACAATACTTATTTTCATTCATAGAGAAAATCAAGTGTAAATTTATTTAATGAAGACTATAGATTCGAGTGATAACAAACAAAAATACATTATACCCCCAATTATTTGAATAGCATAGATTCTGATAATCGGGAGTTTGGATAATCAGGAGGGCAGGAGCCATTTATCCATTCAGCAGTGGGGTGGCCTTCCCCACAGCCATCTTCCTTGCAGTCCTGGCTGTGAGGGCCTCTGCTCTGCCCCACTTACTCAATCCCCTGACTGTGGGGCTGCAAAGTTCTCCCTGCAGGGCTGGTGACACCCTGTCTCTGCAGGCACCAGGCATGGAGGGAGGCTGCAGTCCTAGTGAGGCAGAGCAGAGACCCCCAGCCAGAACTCTGCTCTGCCCCACCAGGACCACAGCCATCTTGCACCTTGCAACCTCCAGGTGCTGGTGGGTGTCACCAGCCCCGCAGCGGCGCAGGGAGCCCTTTGCAACTCTACTATCATGGCCACGTTGCTTGCTTACTCCCAAGACAGTAGCCTTGCAGAACCCATTCAGCAGCAGGGTGACCTTTCCTGCTGCTGGGGACTTGTTGTCCTTCTCTCATTTCTGGCCAGGGCTCTTTGCTGTATTATCCGAACCTCCACATTATCTGAATCCCTTCCTTGACCCCCAGGAGGATAAATGATGCATGCTGCGGAGGGCATGTATTTCATGCTGCAGGACAAGGAAGGAATTCACATAATGTGGACACGTTTCAGAGTGGTTGTCGTGTTAGTCTGTATCAGCAAAAACAATGTTGAGTACTTGTGGCACCTTAAAGGCTAACATATTTATTTGGGAAATAAGCTTTCGTGGGCTAACACCCGCTTCATCAGATGCATGGAGTGGAAAATACAGTAGGAAGAGAGGTAGAGGTAGAGGTAGAGGTTCAGATAATAGGGTTTTGGATAAATTTAAGTATATTGTATTGAAAACAAAGAGTTACAAATAAAATAATATTGTACCACATATACTAGTGCCTAAACTCAGCTAATAAAATGCCCTCTTGTCTAATAAAGTACTGCTTGCCCCAAAGGCTGTCTCACAGCATTCTTCAACCAGGATGACTGAGATCCACCTTTCATGAGACCAAGCCTGCTGGTAGCCTGTCTTCCCCCAGATGAAGGATGCCAGGGCATCTTTGTGCACTGCTAGATATTGTAAGACCAGTCCTTTGTTCTTTACCTTTAAAACAGACACCCCACCTTCCATTGTTCCTGTTAAGTTTCCTTCTGAAGTCCCTACAGTCTCAGCATTGGCGTTTAATTTTTTATGTTAATAGACTTCTGTTGTAAGACACACAACAGAAAGCAAGGGAGATAATGGTCTTCCACCTCCTGTCTGATGGAATCAGTCTCAGGGCATGCGACTGCTACAAGACCTTAAGAACATAATTTCTTTATCTATGTCTACCTATATCTGTATATTTGTAGATATTATTTGCATATACATTTCGCAGAGATTATGATGACCAGTGTGATAAAGGCTTTCAATAGAAACCTTCAGAGACATTTCGGTGAACTAGAATGTAAATACCTATCCAGGGGATCCCTGTAGCCCTTAAGACCTCCTGTGCCCTCTTCCAATTGGCATCACAAATGGTCCTTGGGTCGCAAATGTCTCTTTCCTTCCCTCCATATTCCCTTAGTTATTGTTTAATTGAGTTGTGCATATTTAGTTACTTTTACCTTTCCTTATAAATCTCTTTCCAATCAGTCGTCATTCTTGTTCTCAGAATGCCTCTTTATAGTAGTAGGCTAGGTTCTACAGTTCACTTATATTGGCCAATGATGCTCAAATTATCAGGTAAACAATCGCCTAGTGTCCTATTATGGAAGTATGTGCACTGAAGTGCATATAAACAGTCGTATAGTATCAGCATATGGACCAAAATTTAACTACTGCAGAAAAATATTTGAAGGTGGTTTTTTTTATGTAACATAGCAAAGTTTTACTGTCCATTATTTTGAGAAAAATGTAATTAATGCAAATGTAATTTTTAAACATTACTTCTCTTCGGAGCGCCTGCACTTCTGGATCAAAATGTCCTTGTTTTGGTATGTATTTTGGGTTACCTGTTTAACTTTCTAAGAAAAAAATGTTTCCTTTTTCAGATGAAAATAAGAAGAATAAACATAGAAATAGCAGATCTTGAGAATGTAGAAGAACACCAATCAGTAGACATCTCCACATTAGTAAGAATGATTAATGTATTCTTTCTTACCTTGATGTATTATTCTATTTTTTTAAATGCTAGTAATGAAAACTTGTGTTTGGCTAAAGCATGTTTTGATCTGACGGCAACCAATCTTGATCTGAAGACAACACGAGAGACAATCCACCACTTCTCTTTGTTCCCATAGTTAATCACCCTTGCTTAAAAAATAATATATACAAAAAATTGTGCCTTACTCCCAGACTGAATTTGTCTGGTTTAGCTTCCAGCCATTGGTTCTTGTTACTCCTTTCTTTGCTAGATTAAAAAGCCTTTTAGTACCCGGTATTTTCTTATTATGGTTCTTGTCACTCCATTCTGTGCTAGATTAAAAAGCCTTTTAGTACACAATATTTTCTTTGCACTGTAATCAAGTCACCTCTCAATCATATTTCTGATAAACTAAAAAGATTGAGTTCTTTAAGCCTCACACTATAAGGCATTTTCTCTCACCCTGGAATCATCTTTGTGGCTCTTTTTTGTACGCTCTCCAATTTTTCAATATTCTTTTTAAAATGGATACTTGGAGATCATTGATGACAATGTTGAAGACTGACTTAGACTCCTGTGCCTAGGGCAAATGAGGCAACCCATTTGTTTCCAGTGCTATCTGTACAGACCAAGATGTTTGACTCCACCTTAAGTCATCTCCATAATGGCAGCATCCTTTTAAATTGTACTGTGATGGCATCGGGCCTAGCACCAATCTCTGCAGAGCCCCACTAGAAACACCCCCATTTAATGATGATTCCCCATTGACAATTACTTTTGAGATCTGCCAGCCAGTCCTTAATCCATTTATCATGCAGTTTATAATTTTTGTGTGGTATTAAGTCAAATTCCTTATGTAAGTCTAAGTATATGATATCTACCCTGTTACCTTTATCAACTAAACTTTTGATCTCGTTAAGGTTTGTTTGACCAAACCTATTTTCCATAAAACCATGTTGACTTGCATTAATGATATTTTTATCCTTTAATTCTTTCTTAATTGAATCTGTATCAGCTTTTCCACTGTTTTGCCTGGGACTGAGGTCAGTCTAACCTGTCTGTAGTTAACTGAGTCATCCTACTTACCCTTTTTGAGTATTGGCACAACATTAGCATTCTTCCAGTCGTCTTGAATTTCCTTGGTATTCTAACATTTACCAAAAGTGAACATCAATGGGCCAGAAATCTTCTCAGCCAACTCTTTTGAGCACTGTTGGGTGCAAGTTCTTTGAGCCTGTTTAAGTATTTTTTATCCCTCGTAGATATTCTTGTTAGCTAATGTACTGGAAAAAAGCTTCATCATCCTCATGTGATACAAGTACATCATTCTGCTTCTTTCCAGTACAGCATAGAAATATTTATTGAATACTTCTGCCTTTTCTGCATTGTTATTAACAATTTTACCATCTCCATATAGTATTGTGCCTATAGTATTGCTGTAATTTATTTTGCTATTAATACACCTAAACTCCTTATTGTTCCAACACCTGCCAGTCATGATATTTTCCCTGATATTTTTAACTTCCCTTATCAATTTTCTAATTTGTGTTGATTGCCATCATGGCTTTTTGGTCATCTAATAAACTCTCAGTTCTCTGGTTTGACTTGGTTGTCTGTAACACCCCCTTCAGTATCCTCCTCCCGGGCTTGTTAGTTAGCCCATTGATCCATAGACATTCTTATTAGAGAATTGAATACACTGTTGCATGTAATCTCACATCCATAAAAGTGACTCTGAAATGAATATCTTGTACAATGACCGAGGGTGGTATTTTTTCTCTTAATTTTCAAACCTATGTTTATATGCTAACAGGAAGATGAAGCTCAAGAAAACAAACATAAGATGGTATCTGTTAAACGGGATATGGAACAGCAAAGGGGGAAAATGGAGGAATTGAAAAATATTCTACGAATGGCTGAACATAAACTTGAAGAAATTAAAGAAAAACTTCACCAAGTAGAAGAAATAGCCAGTCCAGTCAAGGTAGAAACCATACAAATATACAACTTTTAAAAACATATTTGATTTTCATTTGTTGGCAAACGTAGTACTAATCTTTAAAGAGGGGAACAAAGGATCTGGGGAATTATTCCAGTCAGCCTGACTTTGATATCTGGAAAGATACTGGAACAAACTATTAAACAATCAGTTTGAAAGCACCTAGAGAATAATAGGGTGATATGAAATAGCCAATATGTAAAGAATAAATCATGCCAAACCAACCTAATTTCCTTCTTTGACAGGTTACTGGTCTAGTTGATGTGGGGGGAGCTGTAGACATGATATATCTTGATTAGAGTAAGGCCTTTGATACAGTCCTACATGTTATTCTCATAAGCAAACTAGGGAAATGTGAATCTAGATTAAGTTACTATAAGGGCAATGCACAACTGATTGACAGATCATACTCACAATAATTATCAAGGATTCGCTGTCAAACTGGGAGAATGTATTTAGTGGGCTCCAACAGGGGTCAGTCCTGGATCCAGTACTATTCAGTATTTTCATTTAATGACTTGGATAACGGACTAGAGAGTATGCCTATAAAATTTGCAGATGACACCAAGCTGGGTGGGTTTGCAAGTGGTTTGGAGGACAGGATGAGAGTTCAAAACTACCTTGACAAATTCTCCAGTTGGTCTGAAATCAACAGATGAAATTCAATAAAGACAAGTGCAAAGTACTACCCTTAGGAAAGAAAAATTGAATGCATGTCTTTAAAATGGGGTATAGCAGGCTAGGCAGTAATATTGCTGAAAGAGTCTGGGGTTCTGGTGTTTCACAGATTGAACAGGAGCCAACAATATGGTGATGTCAAAAAGGCTAATATTCTGAGGTTTATTAACAGGAACATTGTATGTAAGGAAGTAGAGGTTATCGTTTTATTTTACTTGGCCACCGGTAAGGCTTCAGCTGGAGTAGTGTGTCCAGTTTCAGCCACCACATTTTAAGAATGGTGAGGGCAAACTGGAGATAGCCCAGAGATCAACAGCAAAAATAATCAAAGGTTTAGAAAAGCTTGCTTATGAGGAAATGTTAAAAAACTGGTTATTTTCAGAAAAGAAGACTGAGCGGGAGCCTGGTAACAGTTTTCAAAATATGTTAAGGGCTGTTATAAAGAAGATTGTGATCAATTGTCCTTCCTATCAGATGAAGGTAATTGGCTTAATCTTCAGCAAGGGAGATTTAGGTTAGATATTAGAAAAATCTTTCTAACTATCAAGATAGTTAAGTACTTTAGTAAGTTACCAGTTTATAAGAGAAGTGCCCATTTAATGGATTCTCTGTTCTCTTCCCATTTTTCAGTCCAGTGTTTCTGAGCTCTTCTTCCCAATGAGTAAAGAATTATACTGTTCCTTTACAGACCACATACAACCCCTAAAAGTTACCAGTATGGCAGAGGAGCAACACGAGGCATTCTCTTACTATACTCTTTCTGGCAGAATTGAGTGTGTGCTCTCACATAAATTGCTGTTACTGACACTGGAGTTCAGCGGGAATGACATTATAAAATGTGAAAATCTAGAAGCTATGTTATTGGAGCAGTAATGACTAAACATATTCTCCCATTTTAAGTTAGTAAACATTGGGGAGGTGTTCACAAATCTGCCATTCCAATTAAATGTGACATTTTGATTTGTTCCAAATAGGATGAATTAAACCAAGCTGACTTAGAATTGGAAAAGAGTAAACACCACTGGCAGCACTATGAAGAGAAACAGAAAGAGCATTTGGCATCCATAAAAAAAATTAAAGGAGAACTAGCTGCTAAAGAAAAAGAATTAAAGGTATGAGGGTTTTTGGCAATTTGTAGGGGACAAAAGTTGGGTATTCAAGGTCCATTTATTACTTGGATAGTCAGTTGTTCCCTCTGCTAAGTGAAGTTTCTGTTATTTTAAAATTAGTATCATAGTCCCTTGCTCTAACCCCAAGTACTCAAGAAATCTATCCTGCATACTATTGTCCGTATTTTAGTTGTCTTTAAGTATTGATTGCTAGGTTAGCTAAAAAGAACTTGAAGTGTATGGGGTGTAGTTTCCTTTTGATATATGTCTTAATGAAACATTATCGGGATTTTAAGCCTACCAGTTAACTTAAGTCTTTCTGTAGCCCCCCGTCTCCCACAATTCTGGACATCTGGGCTGTTCTCTCTCTGCCATTCACAGAGGTAGATTCAGCATTTTGGCGCCACATGGTCTGGTCACGCCTACTCTGCTTTTGCTTGTTGCCTCCACAGCCATAGACAGTGGTAGTTTCTTTTGTTCCTGCCTTCTCTCCTTCTATTTTAACTTTTCTGCACATTTTTTGGCAGGGAGCAGTATTCTCCCTCCTTGGCATTCCTCCTCTTCCCTGATCAGTTAATTCTTCAGGGTTTAACCCTCCCTGAGCCTCCCCTATTGTATCTCCCTCGTGGACAAAATCTTTTCTTTCCAAGGGAAATTCCTCCTTCTGTGCTTCCCAGGAGGTTGTGATTCCTTCGTTCTGTTCAACTGCAAAGGTGTGACACATCTTAGATGTCATAAGAAGTTTTGAAAGCATACAGAATCCACGGGAAGATTGGGCTCCTAATTCATTTCCTTCCACTCGAAATACCTTGGACTAAGAGCTTCCAAGTTCTCCATCACTAGGTGGAAAGACCATGTATTGTGGAAGCTTCTAAATCATCAAAGATTCCTCTCCGAGAAGGGATCAAGGTTCACACTCTCATGAGTGGAAAAAGCAAATGCATCCACTTTGGAAATTTGCAAAGTGACTATTTGGTCTACAGCTAACATCTTAAGTAAGCACTACAAGGTGAACCTTCTACCTTCTGTGAACACTGCCTGTGGTAGGAAGGTGCTGCAGGCAGTGATCCGAAAATAATAGACTTTTGAGCAAGCTCACGAATAGGGGAGGGTACTTCTTTCCTTCCAAATTTCTTGTTTCACAACCCTTCCTATATCCGTTCACTGCCGACTACTTCCCAGACATCCACAATTGTGAGAGACATTGGGCTGCGGAGCAGAAAATTTCTTACCGCTTTTCTTTCAGCTAGTATTGTCTCCCACAGTTTTACCCACTGTGGATGATGGTTAATGAGTAGAGTCATCTAATACGTGGAATTGTTACCATATGACTGTCTTCTTTCATCTAATGTACATAGTTATTTCATTATCTCTGGTATATGTGTTAATGATATTATGCAAGGTTTAAAGCTTGGGAATAACTCATCTGGCAGCAAGCGGGAGCAGTGTGTCATCAAAACACTGATCTACCTCCATGAGCTGCTGAGAGAAGAGACCAGTCCAGACATACAGAATTGTGGGAGACACTGCTAGCAGAAAGGAAATTATTAGTAAGAACTTTTCCATTAGATAACTCAGGTTTACCAAGCCAAGAATGCTGCTTTTGTACCAGTGGGGAATATATGATGAAAATGTCTTCACCCAGTAAAATTTATACTTACTGTCTCAGATCTGAAAACAAATAGCAGTTTTTCTGAACATTGCTTTTGTTCAGGGTGATAATACATCACAGGAAAAATCAGATAGTTTTTATAAAATCATCAATATGGCATATAAACACAAATGTAATCATCAAGAGAGCTCTATGAAAGGATTCAAGACTGAAGACTATATAGATCCTAAACTTCAGAGGAAAGTATCTAGCAAATGGCAGGAGCCAGTGGGGACAGACACAAGCATTAGACTTTTGACCAGTGGCTGCAACTTTATTATAATTTAGAACAGCAAAAAACACACAAAAAAACAAAAACAAACCCAACCAACCAACAAGACATTTCCAAGAGAGGATTGCAATCAATGGCTTGCAAGGAACTCATTAATATTCATACAATATTTGCCCTTTCAAATATAATTAGATACATGTTTTCCCATTGATGAGAGCATCATAAAATTCAAATGAGGATAATTGATTAAGCAAAATGTTAAATTAAAATGTTTGTATAAAACAAAGAAATTTCATAAATTTTGTGAATAGGGCTGTCAATCACAGTTAACTCACGGGATTAATTTAAATTAATCGCGATTAAAAAAATTAATCGTGCTTAATTGCATTGTTAAACAATAGAATACCAGTTAGAATTTATTTAATATTTTTGGATGTATTCTACATTTTCAAATATATTGATTTCAATTACAACACAGAATACAAAGTGTACAGTGCTCACTTCATATTTATTTTTGATGACAAATATTTGCACTGTGAAAAACAAAGGAAATAGTATTTTTCAATTCACCTAATACAAGTACTGTAGTGCAATTTCTTTTTCATCAAACTTGAACTTACAAATGTAGAGTTAAGTACAAAAAAATAACTGCATTCAAAAATAAAACAATGTAAAATTTTAGAGCCTTCAAGTCCACTCAATCCTACTTTAGCCAATCGCTCAGACAAACAAGTTTGGGTAAAATTTGTAGGAGATAACTCTGCCTGCATCTCATTTACAATGTCAACTGAAAGGGAGAACAGGCGTTCGCATGGCACTTTTGTAGCCAGCGTTGCAAGGTATTTATGTGTCAGATACGCTAAACATTCGTATGCCCCTTCATTCTTTGGCCACCATTCCAGAGGACATGCTTCCATGCTGATGATGCGTTATTTAAATTTGTGACTGAGCTCCTTGGGGGAGAATTATATGTCTCTGACATGCCATATATTTCATATCAGAGCAGTTTCGGATGATGACCCAGCACATGTTCATTTTAAGAACACTTTCACAGCAGATTTGACAAAACGCAAAAAAGGTTCCAATGTGAGATTTCTAAAAATAGCTACAGCACTCAACCCAAGGTTTAAGAATCTGAAGTGCCGTCCAAAATCTGAGAGGGACGAGGTGTGGAGCATGCGTTCAGAAGACTTAAAAGAGCAACACTCAGATACGGAAACTACAGAACCCGAACCACCAAAAAAGAAAATCAACCTTCTGCTGGTGGTATCTGACTCAGTTGATGAAAATGAACATGCGTCGGTCCACTCTGCTTTGGATCGTTATTGAGCAGAACCCGTCATCAGCATGTACGCATGTCCCCCGAAATGGTGGTTGAAGCATGAAGGGACATATGAATCATTAGCGCATCTGGCACATAAATATCTTGCGGCGCTGGCTACAACAGTGCCATGCAAATGCCTGTTCCTCACTTTCAGGTGACATTGTAAACAAGAAGTGGGCAGCATTATCTCCTACAGATTGTAACCAAACTTGTTTGTCTGAGTGATTGGCTGAAGTAGGACGGAGTGGGCTTGCAAGCTCTAAAATTTTACATTGTTTTATTTTTGAACGCAGTTTTTTTGGTACATAGTTCTACATTTGTAAGTTCAACTTTCATGGTAAAAAGATTGCACTATAGTACTTGTATTAGGTGAATTGAAAAATACTATTTATTTTGTTTTTTTACAGTGCAAATACTTGTAATCAAAAATAAATATGAAGTGAGCACTGTGGACTTTGTATTCTGTGTTGTAATCGAAATCAATATATTTGAAAATGTAAAGAACAGCCAAAATATTTAAATAAATGATATTCTGTTATTGTTTAGCAGTTCGTTTAAGCTTGCAGTTATTTTTTTTAATCGCTTGACAGCCTTATTTGGGAGCCTAAGGTTGATGCAATAGTAGATCCACCAGTGAAAGACATAGTCAAACCTTCATAATGGGACTCCCTTCCAAAAGACCGCATACACCATAAGAGTTATGACATACTGCACAGCAAATTAAAAACCTCACCTATAGCTATTCAGACCAAAGATGTTTCATATGTTTAGTAAGGAAAGCCGACTTTGTGACCCTCGCCCCCCCCCCCCACAAACACTACTACTACTACGTACGT